GCCACAATCTCCCTGTAGTTGGCATGGACAGTCTGGTGAGGTCCTGGCAGGTACTTCATCAAGCCAGGAAAGGCATCATACAGCTGGTGAGGATGATAAACTCTTAGTAAAAGACCAACAAGAATATCATAAGCGATCATCACATTGTAGTTTAAACAACGAGCACCTGTGCCTGAGCTGAACCAGCAAGCAGAAGGGCATCATTGTCCAGCTCCAGAATTTTGCGAAAGCTCGGATCAGTGTATTCAAAGCGATGTCCAAAGACCACAGAGGAGATGATGTTACCCACTGCATTTGTCATGATGTAGTGGGGGTTGAATGGTCTACCTGGGAAGATGTCAAATTATACTCAAATCAACAGAAATCCTGCTACAAAAATGATTTCAGTGCACAGCAATCCCTTCAGTCATGTGAATTCCTGCAGCCTACTTGCCTTGCTCCTCCTTGAAAGCTTCACAAAGAAAGTTGCACTCCACTTCAATGTACTTCTCCAGTGACTTTTGGCCTTCTCCAAAGTAACGCAGGTGAGTGTTGGCAAACTTCCTCTGCTTCTTCCAAAGATAACCGTTGCTCATAGATATCCCTTGGAGAATATTATATTAAGTTAATAATAAGGAAGCCTTTGCACGGATGTACATTTTGTAGGGGACGGAGTACAGTGTGAGCCAAAACAAAATGAAGTTATCATTAAGGACTATGTGATAGGCAAGGCAAGACCCAATTGCAAGACTTGGAGACAAAAGGGTAAACTAAAAGAGGCAGCTTTATTGCTGTAGCTTATACACTTGAAAATACAAAAAAACTCAGGTGAGAAATAAAACTAGAAACTTAAGGAACTGATGAATTAGGAAACTAATGACATGGAAACATGGAATTCCAGAAGACAGCTAGAGAAGCCGACACCACAGAGAAGAGAGGGAGACGCAGACAGTATGCACACAGGAGGAGATTGGGGTAGAGTGGACACACCTGAAGAACACAGCTGAACAGAATCTGAAGATATGAAAGACTGGTGAGTAAAGGGAACAAAACACAGAGAGATGAACATGGAAACATTAAGGGAGAAAACAAACAGAGAGGACTAAAGAAAGTATTAACTGGACACAAACAGAACAAACGTGAAGAAACCAGAATTGAAGAACTACAGTATAACTAATAAACCCATCCGCACAGGAAACTAACATACTCAGGAACTAGTTCATAATTATCTTATTATGAAATAATAAATAGGTCCAAAATGAAACTCAAAAACTGGGTCCAAGACCCAGGACTGTAACAGCACTAAAAAAGAATTTCATTATATTTTTACATTTGATATGCTTTTTCAGGGTTTGTTTTGAGAATTGGGCCATACAGAGACGTGATATAATGAGGATGTACAGGTATTGATCATTTCTAGTTTGATGACAATCTAATACAGCTTAAGACTTGGGGAAGGAGGTTGGTATAGCAAAAAATATAGGCAATAGCACATGCTTACATGCACGTGTTTTAACAACTCACCTAAGCCCTTTAATACAACATGGAAAAGAGGGATGATTGGTCGATTAACAAAGCTGTCCAGCTGGCTGACAAGAGCCTCTTTGACCATTTTATATCCTGCAACAAACACCATCCTCTCACTGCCCCTCCTCAAACTGAACACGGGGCCGTACTTCTG